ATACGTGAGTCAAGAGAAACACACAAGGCGCCTGATTGGTCGAAATGGCGCGGGCTTATTTGAAATTAAAAAGAAAAAATTCTTTTAAGTAATTATATACAAATTTTAACTATATTATTATTATATTATATAATATTATATTATTATATCATATATTATATTATTATATTATTATTATATAATTAATTATAATAAAAAATAAAATAAATAAGAAATTAGAAAATGTTAATCATAAAAATACCAAAACATTCTCAGAATACATGTGACGACATGAAAAATCCGTAAATAAGAATTAAGAAGCAGAAGCGCATTTTCCTGCGGCCGATTAAATGCTAATATCATCGTGATAATATAAAAATTGCGTCGCGTCTTGTGTTCGACATTGAAAGTGTGTAAAATTGAAGGATATTTTATTATTTTTTTTTTTTTGGTCTTCAAGTCCGTGTTTGTTTGTGAATTTTAACATGTATTGTATATGTACATACATATATTGTATATACACAATATCACACAATTGAGAAAACTTGAATGTTAGAGCTTCCGGTGTTGCTCTCAATCTCCTTAGACATTCAAAAGGTGTACTTTGGGAGAGCGCTACATGGTTACCAACATCTTGCAAAGCCGCGCTAAGATATAATATATATAAGAAACACAAACACATTCACAAACACACACGTGCCTCCTTTAAAATTCGATTTTGTCACTATGCGCCGAAAATACGATTAATTTTTTTTTTAAGTGACAAATCATATAAGAAATCCTATATATATACTAGGGGGGCTGCCCCCCTTCGCACTTCGCGTGCCTTATTTTTTTACACTTTAAGGCTTAATTTTTTAAAAGCTAGCAAATATTTAAAATTAATAAAATTTTGCCTAAATTTTGAGGTTATGTTCGTTTCTTGGTTATAAGGGAATTTAAGGTTATGTTTGTCGGACAGTCTTGAACCCGACGGCAATTCTGGTGACTTGATTTCACAGTCAAAATTCAGATAAATTTTAAGGTTATGTTCACTTTTTGGTTAGGGGAGGGATTTATCGACAATTTGAGGTTATTTCTGACATATTTTGGATTTTTGCTTCCCAACCCTGCAGGGTTACCATGGTATTGGATTTGTTACACTAGGGCAAAAATTTACCAAAACTACATAACCAATTTCAATAACTTCGAACTTTTGACCTATATGGACAGTTCATGAATTTTACCCCATTTGAAAAATTTTAATTTTGCAAAAGTATTTAAAGTACTTTTACTTTTTGAAAAGTATTTAATGTATATATATATGGTTTGATGACAGATTGATTGATTGATAGAAAAAGAGAGAGAGGGATAGAGCGAGAGAAAGAGAGAGAGAGAGAAAATAGTGAAAGTATGAGAGTAAGAGAAAAACACATATATTAGGGGAAGGATTCGAAAGTGGGTGGAGCAAAGGGTCAGGGGGGCCAAGCATAATACAGCACGTGTCGGTCGTAAAAGAGCTTCCGTTTTTTTTTATATGAAATATTTTCATTTTACTTCAATTAGGTTTATTACAAAAATCATTGCAATTTTAATTAGAGGTATACAAATGTCACGAATTATACGATTAGGGTAATGATAATCCGGGACTTACTATATAGTTTTAAAGATAATTCGTTAAATTGAAATTAAAATTATAAAATCAAAATTAAAATTAAAACTTTAAATTAAAATAAAAAATTTAAATTAAAAAATTAGTAATTTAGCAAAAGTAGAGTAATAAAAAAAAATTCGCTAAATCTTATTACACGTAAATAAACATTTACAATCAGTATATACACGCGATAGTGTGCTTAGATTAAGTGGTTTAAATTGTGTTTAAGTGGTTTAAGCAAAGTTTAGATAAAATTGTATAAAACGTATGTGTATAATATACGTTACGAGCGTACTATATAAAAGTTATTAATAGATATTCTTTCGTTTTTCTTAATGGCGCATACAAAATATATATATACACGTGCTAAAAATCATCATCCTTTTTACAATCTATATGGTTATATCTATATGGTTATATCTATATGGTTATATATATATATATATATATACATATACAAGAAAAGTTTGATCACTTAATAAACATTTCTTGGCAAAGTTGTATTTAAACGATTAACATTCAAAAGATTGACTTTTTGGACATGGACCAACATTTTAAATCGATAGTAAATTTTCCCCAGCCATCAGTTTCCCTTGAGATTTCCAACAAATTTGAATATCAACTTTTGAATAATGATCGAATGAAAAATAAATTTTATACCTATATATATATATATATTCTTTCTCATGACAGGAAGTTTACTCTCGCGGCTGTTATTATTATTATTATTATTTTTAATTTATGCCCGAAAAATTAATATTCATTATTATATATTATATTATATTTTTTTCAATTACTAAATCTTATTATGTAATATATTCTAATTAAATTCAAATATGATAATAAATTATTGTTACCTTTTTTCATTTCTATATATTTTTGTAAACAAATATTTCTTTTAGTATTTAATATTTTTTCTAAAAAAAAAAATAAATTCTTTCTTTTTAATGATTAGACGCGTTTTCTTTTTTTTTTTGCTACTTTTTTTTTCTTCTAGAACAAATATAAAAAAAATCGATTTTATTTGACCTCTATTTTTTCACATATATATATATATATATATATATTCTTCATTTTCGTGAATATAGTCATTCGTTATTTTTGGTTCGAAAGATATTCTGATAATTTTCGAAGAGATTCATGAATAAGTGAGTGTCAAATAATTTAAAAATAAAGAGAAGAAAGAATTTTTGAGTTGAATGGCATCAAACTACATTTTTTTTGTATATTATCTTAGATTAGTAAAAAATTAATATTAAAAATCCAATTTTTGCTATAGGTTATTGAAAATAATTTAAATTATTATAATTAAATTTGAAAAAAATTATTATTATTATTAAAAATAACAAGTAAATTTTAAGCAATATTATAACAATAATAATAATAATATAACTTTGGTTATGTTTATATTATTATTAATGTTTTATTAAAACATTCATGTTTAGAATGAAAACACTGGCTTTTCTGCTTTAGAAAATCGAAAATAGCTTTTGGTATATAATTTAAAAACATATATATTTTAATTCAAGGCTCACAGGCAAACATTCCATAGCAAACTGTATTAAGCTTTTTTTTTTTTTTTTTTGTAAAGAGTAAATGATTTTGAAGTAAAATTTAAAAAAAATTTAATTAAATCTATTTTAAAAAACTGATATTGTATTCGTATTCAGTAACCCTAAAAAAACCCCGTATAAACAATTTTAAGCGAATCGAAGACAATTTTTATAAAGCCCGCCATTTTGAATTTTGAAAAATTGACATAAAAATCTTAATCAGGGAGCCAAAAAACCTAAAGTAACAAATTTATCAAATTTTAAGAAAATGTTTAAAAATTGATGTTTATTTGAAAAATTTGCCCTCTATTTTTGAATATTGAAAAACTGAATCTAAAATACGTAATCAGCGACCTCAAAAATCCCTAGGAACTGTAGTTTCAAGCGAATTCGAACAATTTTTTAAAAAAATCGTCCGCCATATTGGATTCATCATTTTGAATTTTGAAAAACTGAATCTAATTTCGTAATCAACGACCTCAAAAATCCCTAGGAACTGTAGTTTCAAGCGAATTCAAACAATTTTTTTAAAAAATCGTCCATAGCAATGGTTACTATGGTAACTATTGTTATGGAAATAATTGCTATAGTAACCGTCGCTATAGAAACCGTTGTTACGGTAATGGTTGCTATGGAAACTGTTACTATGGTAACGGTTGCTGTAGTAATGTTTGTGAAGGAAACCGTTACTATGGAAATAGGTATATATGGTAATAGTTGTTATGGAAACCGCTGTCATGGTAACGGTTGCTATAGTAACGGTTGCTATAGTAACTGTTGCTATGGTAATGGTTCCTAAGGAAACTGTTTGCTATGGAAACAGTATAGTTATGGTAATTGTTGCTAAAGAAACCGTTGCTATGGCAACAGTAGTTATGGTAACGGTCACTTTAGTATAGCTGTTGCTATGGTAACGGTTGCTAAGAAAACTGTTGCCGTGGTAACTATTGCTATGGAAATAGTTGATATGGTAACGTTTGCTATTGGAAACCGTTGCCATGGCAATTGAACTATTTTGCACGACGGACAGACAGACGGACGTCAAAACGTCCTTATGAAATTTCAGCCCTAAACAACATAACCCTAAAAAATAAAAGAAATACAAAAAAATTACAATTATTGTTCAATAAAAAATAGAAAAAGCGAAAAAAATTGAAAATAGAAGAAATTTAACAAAATGTAAACATTGCGCAACAGTGCGTAAATATCGTAGAAAAAGAAAATAAATAAAAAAAAAAACCGTGCACTATACCACGTGCGTAGAGTGCGAGGCATCTAAAATAGTAAACACAACTGCGTGAACACCAGTGACAACAAGGAATTGCGAACGGTGCTAGAAAGAAATAGAAAATGGTACATACGTACTATACATATATACATACATACATGAACCGGTGGTGAATGCTGGGTACATATCTGTTTTACTAGGGTGTTCCAACGGGGGATTTAGGATGACGCGAAATGGGGGGGGGCAAACTCGCACAGCAGAACGAGAAAGAGAGAGAGAGAAGGGTGGCTAAAAAGGGGTCGACAGGGGGGGGGGGAGATCTCGCTACTAGGGCACCGAGTAGGGCACAGATAGGGTACAACCAGGGCACTGTGAGAGCTTTCAAGGACGAGGCTCACGGCTATATGGTTCTTTTTTTTTTTTTATTTCTATTTAGGGTGTAGAGGGAGGGGGACAAAGAGAATGAGTGAGAGAGAGAGAGACAGAAATGAAGAGCGTGTGCCGATTGGTCGACGCGTGGTTGTGTGCTTGCGAACCATAGTAAACTGGGGTTGGTAAGAATGAAAGAGTGGGGGGTATAGCGAGCGCACAGCTGATGCAGCGCCGACCACAGTTTTCAAACTCGGTGTGTGCGTATACACTGCAATCGTCTTCCCGTGAACGAATCAGTAGCACACGAGCGCTCGTTCAGCGAGCATCGTTAACCGAGGCTCGAGTGGAAATGTCACCTCGTGATCGTCGTCTCATCGTGAGAGAATCATAAATTCGATTGCTTCAAAGAGAGACACATTTAAAAAAAATCCGGCGTATCACTTGCAAGAAAAAAATATAAATTTTGCAATATTTTTTTACTAAAAAAAAATTTTCCAGTAGTTTTACCAAAACGGAGTTTTGTAGTGTTTTGTTCGCCACGTTTCGTTATTATTAAAAAAAAAAATTAATCACTTGAGTGTGCTTAAATAACGAGTCTAGCTGCGAATACAAAAAACCACGTGGATTTTTTTCTTTCTGAACTGAAAAAAAAACATTTTCGCGTTGTTCTCAATTGAGAAAAAGCGTGATTTGTTTTTTTTTATTATTAAATTTTGTGTGGTGTTTTCTGTAAATTTTGCTCTGCTTTGGCAAAAAGTGCAGTGTTTAATATTTAATCCTTTTTTTGAGGAAAAAAAGAGAGTTTATTAGTTTTGAAAAATAAATAATAATTTAAAAAAAAAATGGTGCCGCAACAACAAGACAGCCCTTCGAGCTCGGGGATGCCGTTATTCGGATCGCTACTGGTGGATAAAAATTCATCCACACCGTACTCGGATGCAACACAGGTAAAGAGATAAACTCCTCTCGATTGTTCGTGTGAGAGATTTATCTTAAAAAACAAAAAAAAATAAAGAGTGTGTGGTTCTGATCTGTCATCGATAGCGAAACAGTTTGAAAACACGTGCGACGACAACGATATATATGCTTTGACATGTCTCGTGTGCTTTGCGCCTTCGGTGGTTGTTGTGTGTCAACTAGTTTCGAACCTGTTGATTTTTCAAATTTCCCGCATTTTTCGAAATTTAGTTTTTTTTTAATTTTTTCCATTTTTCGAATTTTACCAATACCGGAAAAATTTAGTTTAGAAAAAATAATTTCAAATGTTTCTAATTCGAGAAAATTTACAACCAAACCTAACCTAAAAAGTGAAAAAAAAAGAAATTCAAAAGTGAAAATAAATAAATTTAAATCAATTCAAAAAAAACGTGCAAAATTTATTAAGGGCATGTCAAAGTTGGTGCGATTTTCGATGCAAAAAAAAATTGCATTGATTTTGACATACCCTTAAGGTCAAAAAAAATTTTTGGAAAATGAATGAAAAATAATTTAAACGGAATTCTAAAGTGAAAAATTCAAAAAATAAAAATCGGTTCCAAAAATGTGAAAAATATAGAGACCAAAAAAGTTTCTGTAAAAAAAAAAAAAAAAATTAAAGTAACATCAAATCAAAGTAAAAATACAAAACAAAAATGTGAAATTTTTTAGACATGTTTTTGAAAAATTTTGTTTAAAATTCTTCAAAAATTAGTTTATTTTCAAAGAAAAATTAAGATGAAATAACAGAAATTTTTTTTTTCAATCACTAATTTTTTCGGTAAATATACAAAAAATTGTATTCAAAAAAAATTATTTAACCTGAACAGTAGAAGTATAAAATTGAACCGAAAAAAAAGATTGAAAACCAAATTCTAAAAATATTAACAAATATGTGAAAAAATAAAAATGTGAATTAAGAATTTATGTGAAAAATAAAAAGTGATTAAATCAAATAAATGAAAGTAAACAGTGTAAAAAATTAAATTAAAAAAAAAAGAAAATTAAATAATTTCTTCGACAAATTAAATATTAAAACTCGAAAATTGTTGTATATCATAAAAGTTCAATGACTTCGCCGGTGATAAAGAATCATTGAATATATTGTAATAAAGAGCCGTAACGATAAAGTTGATAAGTTTTTAATGGTGGTTTTTTTTAAACACATTTTTTTCACACCTCTAAATGAGTTTTTGGCTAAAAATAAATTAAATTTTTAAATATTTATCATTATTTAACTAATTCAAAAATTATTTAATAATTATTAATATTTATAAAGCAAAAAAAAATTCAATAATAAAGTAAAATAAATGTGTTTTGAAAATATTTCACATAAAAAACGAACTAATTAAAAAAAATATATATAATATCCTATTAAAATAAAAAATAAAAAAAAAATGCCGAAATAAAAATCAGTTTTCAAATATTTCATAAAATCGCGCAATATATCATTTTGGCATCTCTGGAGATTTTTTTTATTCAAGCGAGAATGTGACGCGTTTACACGGGAGAATATTAAACGAAAAATAATATTAACGAAAATTGAAATTTTATTTACATTGAGAGAAAAAAAAAATAAAATAAAAAGACAAATATTTTTTCAATCAATTAGAAACAGTGAAATATTTTTCAAACATCCTGGAATGGTGTTAATTCGATTTGACATTCAAATGATCATAAACCGCGTATAAACAATTTTTAGTATTCTCCTCTCACATCGATTACGCTCTTTTTTTTTAGTTTTTATTTTTCAAGTGTTTTTTTCCCCTCTGCGGTTTATGATTACTGAAAAAAAATAAGTTACGTTAAAAATTAAAAAAAATAATAATAATTATAAATAAAATTAATTTTTAAAATTCTTTTAAATAATTATTAATAGATAAATAAAAATTAACAATTTATCCGAAAAGTAAAATAAAATATTTTTTAAAAGGAGAGAAAAAAAAAATTCTTGTAGACGGGTTTTAAAAGGGCAACGAACAAATAATCCCTCGATAATTGTATCAAATCGTTAGAGTGAACTAATTTCTTCCAACGTTGTATTTAATTAAAACAATTTATTTGAAAAAAAAAAAAATTTTTTTCACTTAAATCGACTCTAATCGCATTACAACTTCCGCGGCAGGTTCAAAAGAATAAAAATAAAATCACAAAATGTGAAAAAAAATTAAAATTCGAATTAAACAAAAAATGTGTTAAATAATTGATAATAAAAAAAAAAAATTAAAAATTTAAATAAAATTCAAATTAGTGAAAAAATAAAAATATAGTAAAATTCGTTATAGTTTTTTCTGTTTTTTTGACGTAAGCCAAAAATTGCATCGCATCGACCTTGAGATTATATTGATTATTTATCCGATGAAAGCCCACGAGTGCACATTGTTTACTTAACAATTAGAATCGTTCAAAAATAGCTCTTTGTAAAGATTTCTGTTTGAGTGAAAATCAAACGCAGGAAGATAGTGCGCAGAATTTCTCCAATGATTGCAAAAACAAGTCTCTGTTTAATTAAAAGCAAAAAAAAATAAGGAAAAATAAAATCAAGATTTATTTTTCTTTTTTTTGTAAAATTATTATCGACTCCTCGCGGTAGTAGTAACTTCGTAGAAATTCACTCTTTCGGTGTGACCTTCTAGATTCCATCAAACATCCGAGGAAAAGTATCTGGTTACGACTCTAATCACTAAGGGCATCAAACTAAACCTTTCATTTCCTTTTTTTTTTTATTATTTTTTTTTTATTCCATCTTTTTAACTTTTTAACCTATAACTGTATCGCACTCTTCATATAAGTTCCACTTTTTTTTCTCTCTCTCTCTCTCTCATTCTCTCTCTGAACCTACAATTTAAAATCTCGAGGCAAGAATTTAAAAAGGTTTCTCTCGAAAAAGGATTCTCTTAATTTGTAGACGAAGGGGGTACAAGGGGTGTAGAGGGGGGTTAAAAAAGCCATTAGAGTACTAGAAAAAAAAATAGTTCAATATCAGATAATAATAAATGTTTAAATGCTATTAGATCATTATAAAATTTGGTGGAAAAAAAAAAATTTTAATTTGAGGAAAATTAATAGTAATACTGTAAAATAAAAAAAATAAAATTAACAATCTAAAAATTAAAAGATTGAGAAATACAACTGTCGGTTAAATGATCGTGGAAATTAAATAATTTTTATTTTTTATTAATTTATCGGTAATTTAGAAAAAAGTAGTTGAAAATTATCCAAAAAAAAACTAAAATAATGAGAATTATAAAAAGTGACAGAATAATAAAAAAAAATAATTTATTTTTTTTATTCTTGATATTCAAAATTGGTTTTTGAAAATAATTTACGATGACGGTAGATGCAATTAAAAAAAAATCAAAAAAAAAAAAAGGAGTTTTCCCTATTCAAGACATAAATCGTGTGCGGGTTCGGTCCGGTTCATAATAATTGCGGTCATTTTGACCATAAAAAAAAAAAGAAGTGGAGCCACGCAAAATTTTACGGTACTTTTGAGCATACTGTCGACTCACTAAAAAAAAAAAGAGAAAAAAAATGCATAAAACCCAGGTTAAAAATTCAAAACTAAACCTAAAAACAAAATTTTAAATTTTAAGAATATTTTTTAAAAAAAGGATTTTTAAATTTAAATTTTTAAAAAAATTTCGTAAATGACAAAATTTTTCGAAAACGAAAAGAATCAATTTTCCACTTTTTTGAAGAATGGAGAAAAATAAGACTTTCATGACAGTGACACACGCCTCTCCATTTGGTAACGCATTTCAAAAAACCACAATGAATAATAAGACGAGGAAAAGTCATAGAAAAATTTGATCCAGATTGAAGATTTTTATATTGTCGTTTCATTATTATTATTATTATTATTTTTTTTTTTGAGGGGCAAAATAGACATGTCATATATAGAATTTAGGGGGACATGGAAAATATAAAAGCGAGTTTGCTTGATCGAATAGGAAAAGGAGCATGACCTTTTATAATATATATATATATATATAAAAAGTTGAATTTTGTGGTCGAAGACGAAGAATTGATCTTCAAAGCCTCTCAAAAAATGGAAGATGACACATCCCCTTGGGAAATTTTCGGCACGAGGTTGAAATATATTTGTTTTTTTCAAAAATAATAATTGATGTATTTGTAATATTTCTTATTTTAAATTTATTTTTAAGAAAATTTATTTTTTTTTTAAGTTTATTTGTTGCAATTTAAAATTTTTATTTGAATAACTTTTACATTGCCTTAAATATTTTTTTTTTTAATTTTTATTTGAATAACTTTTGCATGGCCTTAAATAATCATTGAAATTTTGTAAATTAAAAAAATTTTTATTTTGAATAACTTTTACATGGCCTTAAATAGTCATTAATTTATTTTTTTTTTAAATTAAAATTTTTATTTGAATAACTTTTACATGGCCTTAAATCAATTTTTGAATTAAACTTGATTCAATTTAAAAAAAAAATTAAAAATTGTAATAAAATCATATTTTTTGTTTTTTTTTTACAAATCAGTAAGATTTCGATTTCAAGTCGAGTGGTAACGGAATAAAATAGAAGAAGGGGGGAGGAGGAGTAAGATAAAAATCATAGCGGTGTGGGGTTTTCTCACTCCGTAATTATTTGGGGCCAAAATCATTTTTTTCCTCTATATATATATATATATTCGACACTTTTTAGAAGTCACAAACGAAAGGTGATCCCAAGCCAATTATCCTTCTGGACTTTAATGGCCCTGCCTCTAATTCTAGACCTTCACTTTAACCATCCGGCAGGTAGTCCCCTGCCTTAATTTTTGTATTTTTTTTACACACACATATATATATATAGCTTAAGGGAAACCGCTTTCCCCTGATTCACCTTTTTAGAAACTAGTTCACAGATTTTTTTTTGCGGTTTACCCACAACAAATAATTAATGTTCGAAATTTTTTTTTTTTTTTAAATACGAATTTGAATTTTTAACAGGTTTCTTTA